GAATGGCATTGGCTCAAGACCGACTGGACGGACTGCCTGGTTGCATAAAGAAGTGTTCGTGATTGTGTGATTGTGGAAAGGGATTGATCTCGTGTTAGATTGCTCTCGCTGTCTGGATTGTATAGTGGAATTTTGCACCCTCCCTCCCTCGCAGGGAGGGAGGGAGGGAGGGAGGGAGGGAGGGTTCTCGCTCTCTCTCTTTCTTTCCCTGTTTTTGGCATCTCCTCTGAAGAGTCGCGGAACCCAAGATGCTTGGCTCCAATCCTTATCTTTAACCAACCCAGAAGACTAAACCCAAAACCCCAATCCCAACCCTCCTTTGAGGTTTGGGGTTTGGAGCTTGGAGCTGGAGTCCTTCGATTCCGTGCGCTCCTTTGCCCAGCGCTACTTAGAGTCTGTGGGAACCTTGCACCTGCTGATCAACAACGCCGGCACCGGTCAAGGTTGCAGATTGACGGATGATGGTATCGAGGCATCCTTCCAGGTGAACTACCTGAGCCCCTTTCTGCTGACGAACCTCCTCCTCCCTGCGCTCCAGGCTGGGAGCCCCAAGCATAATGTCTTCAATGGTTTTATTCACCGAAATGTGTAGTGCTTCTTCTCCAATATGTCTAAGATTTTCCCAAGACTCCTAGTCTTCAGGCCGGAAGCCCTTCTCGCATCGTGAACGTGGTGTGCAGGGAAGGATACCTCCGCCCTGCCCGGGGATGGCAGCAGCGCTTCCCAGAGGGCGTCTTGCAGGGCTGGCTGGGCCTGCCAGTGCCCATCCAGGAGCCTCGAAACCCTGAACGGGTAGGTCTCTATTTTTCGGGTGCTTGTTTCAGAGCTGTCCATATTCTGAACCAAAAACCTTGCACCATGAAGCTCTATATAGGCCCTAAGACCTAGGACCCCAACCCTAAATTCCCTAAAACCCTAAACCCTAAACCCTAAACCCTAAACCCTAAACCCTAAACCCTAAACCCTAAATTCTGAATCTGAAACCCTACCAGGAGCCGGTGCGTGTGGGTTCCCGGCGAATCGCCGCTGCGAGCCTCGGCACGACCAGCAGCAGCTCTGGCGCCACCGGCGCTGCCAGCCATGACTTGGCCGAGGACTCTGTAATATTTGGGAACCTTTAGGGTTTAGGGTTTAGGGTTTAGGGGTTTAGGGTTTAGGGTTTAGGGTTTAGTTAGGGTTTAACCCTTTAAGCAAGCTTTCACAAGCCCTCTCGACTGCGAAACTCTTACAAAACCAGGTGAAGGCCAGAGAAAAGCCTATACAACGTTTCTACACCTTTGTACAGACGTTCATAACAAGTCTTACACACTAAAACCTAGATAACAAACGTCGTAAAACCCCATCAAACAAACCCTTATGACACCTCTATAGAAACCCTTACAGAGACCCCCACAAGCCCTAAACCCAAAGCCCTAAGCCCTAAACCCTTATAAAGACCCCCACAAACCCAACGCCCAAAACCCTAAACTCCTGAACCCTTCTAAAGACCCCCCACACACCCAACACCCAAAACCCTAAACTCCTGAACCCTAAGGAACCCCAATCAGGAACCCTAAAAAACCCTAAGCAACCCTAAGCAATCCTAAGGAACCCTAAGAACCCTAAGGCCCTAAGGAACTAAACCCTAAACCCTAAACCCTAAACCCTAAACCCTATAAAGACCCCCCCACACACACATAGGACAGCGAGCCCGAGACGGAGGGCGGAGGCGCGATCGAGTGGGTCATGGAGCGATGCCGCGCAGGCGATGCCTACAGCAACGCGAAGCTGGGCCTTTTTTGGAGGGTCCATAGAAAATCTATAAGGATGCTATAGGGTTTAGGGTTTAGAGTGTCGCTAAGGGGTCCCCAGGCTATATATATATATACATATATATATATATACATATATATATATGTCCATATTTTTGTTTTTTTTAGGAGGGAGGGTGTGGCAGGGTTCGTTTTTGAGGTTTTGGTTTCAGGGACTTAGGGTGTTAGGATTTGGGTTGGTTACTGGTTTAGGGATTTAGTGCTTTTGGGTTTTAGTTTTCAGTGTTTGGGGCTGTGGGTTGGGGGTCTAAGGGGCAGGAACCAAAGCATCTTCTTCATCGATTATTTTTAAAACAGAAGACTTATGAAGAAGAGCCAAGATCCAGGAAGTTGGCCAGCCTCACCTTTAGCCTGGAGATGGAAAGGCGCCTACGGAATGCGGCCGAAAACGATGGCATTACTTCCCATGCCATCAACCCGAACACCGTCTCTCAGTAGCAGAGGAAGAAGGCTTTGACCCGGTTTGGGTACTGGAACTTGTAAATGATCCCGAAATACGTCTCCTACTTGTAGCAAACTGGACAGCCAACGCCTAAACCCTAAACCCCAAACACTTAATTAATCTAAACTCCAAGCCCAAACCCTAAACCCTAAATTCCAAACCCCAAACTTAAAATCCGAGATGCAGATGTTGCGGATTGGAAAACAGGTGCTCAAGAAAACAGTTTTAAGCTTGAGGTTCTGACCGACTTTCAGAAGTCGTTGGGCGCCACCTCGGAGCGCTCTGCCATGTCATATCTCCCGCCGGTCTGGATTGCAGGGAAGGTGGGAAGGGCTTGGGGAGAAGAGGGACTGGACGGCTTAGGGTTTCAGAAGGTACGAGCAGGTGATTTCCTTGTATAAGTCCTTAAAAAAAAAGGCAAGTTTTTCGGGTTTAGGCAGGGCTTAGGCTCTGGGGAGAGTTCACCTGAGCCTTCACCTGAGCCTAAGACTTGATTTGCACAGGCCCAAAACGGTTTAGGCTTCGGGGTTTGGGTTTGGGCTTGGGCAGCCCTGAATCTGAATTCTGAGGCTTCAAGTTTAGGGTTTAGGGTTTAGGGTTTAGGGTTTAGGGTTTAGGGTTTAGGGTTCAACCCTAGCTAGACAGACCATCGAACCCTGTGCCTGAAGCCCAAAATCTGGAAGCTTCGCACGAGACTTTAAACCGTACTCCTAGTTTCTTTCCCTCAAACCTGAATCCGTGAATGTGTCTGAATCCCTGCACCCCTTAAACCTTAAGCTACACCCTGAGCCCGAAACTAAACTCTATACCCTAAACCCTCAACCCTAAACCCCTAAACCCCTAAACCCCTAAACCCCAAAGCTCTAAACCCTAAACCCTAAACCCTAAACCCTGAAACCTACAACCCACACCCCCCTCTGGCCAGGTCTTTGGGTTCCTCGGCACTCGATTCCGGGAGATGACCATGAGGTCCGTGCAGCACGGGGCGGGGGCGATCCTTCATGTCGCGACGAGCCCGGCGTTGGAGGCGTCTGGGAGCTGTTGGTTTGGGGGGGTTCAGGTTGTGGATGTAGGTTTTTTGGGTTTTTGGGATTTGGGGTTTTGGGTGTAGGTTTTGAGCGATTGGGGTTTAGGGTGGTTTTGGTTTCGGAGGTTGAGGTTTCGGGTTTAGGGCAAGGTCCAGCAGGGCTTTGGGCTCGCAGCTGGCTGTTGTTTAGATTTCAGAGGTCTCCCCCGGCCCACCGTTACGACACCCGGCTTGTAGATCACTTATAAACCTTAAGCCAAAACCCTACACCCTAAACCCAAAACCTTAAGCCAAAACCCTACACCCCTCTTATAGCCTAGATCTGGCTGGCCATGAGACCGATTGAAGGCACCGAACTCCCAAACCTAGACGCCGAAACCCTGACGTCGGTGCCTAAATAATTGCTATCATTATTTCACGGGTTCCTTATTATCATTATAGCATAATGCCCCCAAAACCCTATTCTAACTATTAAGGCCCCGATTTTAAACCCTAAAGTTGGAGTGCCCGCATGATCGGCTCTTTGGCCCTAAACCTTGGCGGAGCGCGTAGGAAACTTCAAAGTTCTCTAAATTTCGATCCTTTTTAGGTCGGCCAAAACTAGTACGGCACTGTAGGGCTTAGGGTTTAGGGTTTAGGGTTAGGGACCCTTACAAACCGGACCCTGACAGAAACCTGACGACTACCCATGCTTGACTGAGCTTTGAGGCCTTTAGGCCCTGTGCCAGGCTAGTGGAGGTGGCCTCTTCGACGACACGGAGACGGCAGCTCTACTGCAAGAGCTCTGGCAAGGGGTTTAGGGCATAATTTAGGGTTGAGGGTTCAGGGGGATTTGGCACCAGAAGCCCACATCAACAACTAGCCACAGCATCGCTCCTAAGACTGTATACTCTTATAGTTCTCTCACAATTACAATCAGAATGCATTACATACACCCCGCGCAAAACCCGTTCTAACTGTCAAGGTTCTTACGTTGCGGGTCTGTTTCGGGTTGAAGGTTATGAGGTTTATGTCAATGCTAGAAGTCCCAGGTGCACGGAAAATTGCGGTATGGGGCATTTCAAAGAAGCACGCACTTAAGATCCCTAGACTCCGCCACAACATAGGGAAATGACTATAAGTAGTAGTGTCCCTTTGTCGTCATTATACATATACGTCCCACCAAGCCAACAAATCAGTAGGGTTTAGGGTGTAGAGTTTCAGGCAAGTCGCCAACAACACTAAACCCTGCCTAAACCCCACAGCCTAAACTCGACACCAGCAGCTCATAGCTCGATCTCCTGAATCGCCGGACCGCTGTCATGGCGCAACACTATGTCTTTACCCAGAGTATTCCTTGGCATTCCCTATGATGCTAAAATATGCTGCCAAACCCTGTTCTAATTAAGACGGTTCCTACATTACATTACATCTCACTCAAGCCTGAAATCTACACTCCCCAGCCCAGGTTTCGAGCTCGAAAACGGGCTTAGGGTTTTGGGGTTGCAGGGTGTAGGGAGGAGTGTGGAGACTGATTGCCACCAAAAAGCCTTTGTTCAGGCCTTTACCAAATGTGGGCGCACCGCGGCCTTTTGCGGAAGGGTGCCTACAAACTGGCTGCCGGCAGTGAGCCTGGACGAGCAGGCAATCGTGTAATATCGGGGCCTTAACAATTAGAATAGGGTTTGGGGTATATTATACTATAATTATGTAATATAGGGGCCTAAGTAATTACCTATTTTTTTTTGGGGGAGTTCCTTATTACAAGTATAGTATAACGGGCCCCAAAACCCCACATCAACAGGATCTACGGCTTCAGGTTGAAGATGTATACGGTATACGGGTTCCGTGTCTTTGTAGTTGAGATGTAGGTGCCTGGTAGGGCCATTGAGGATGAGCAGCTGCAAACCCCAAACCCCCAAGATCAAGCTATGCCTTGCAGCCACAGATACTGTAGGGTCTCGGCCCAGCCACGGCGATGTATGCCACCTGAGAGTGAGTTTAAACGTACCCCTAGCCAAAACGGGAGTTGGGTGATGACTTGGGTGTTTGGATTGTTGAAGCCCCAAGCCCAGCCAAGACCCAACACCCACAACCGAAGCCCCAAACCCCAAAAGACGAGGCGTCGAAGCAGCTGTGGAAGGTCAGCGAAGAAATCGTTGGCCTCGAGGTCCCGAGTTCATTTGTGTTTCTGGAGGGTTTTTGGGCGTTCAGAAGTTTGGAGATTTGGATTTTGAGGGTTGGGGGTTCAGGGTTTAGGATTTTGGACTTTTGGGTGGCAGGGTGCAGGAACGGTTCAGGGTTTAGGGTTCAGGGTTGAGGGTTTAGGGCTTTACCTTTCACATCATCATCACCACCACCATCATCATCATCATCACCACCATCATCATCATGATCATCATGATCATCATGATCATCATGATCATCATGATCATCATCACCATCACCATCACCATCACCATCACCA